AAAAAAAAAAAAAAAACGTTTTATTAAAATCCCACAGTAATGTGGTTAGAAAATTATGAATAGGTGAGGGGAAGATAAACAGGAACACTAGCTAGAAAAGGTAGTCTCTTGGCTTAAACGTTCCTCACGATAGATGTGAGCTGTGCATTGATATTTCCCACCTCCTATGAAGAGGACCAGAACCCAGTAATCAAGAAAAGCACAGAACTTCCCCATTTTCTTAGGAAAAATGAGAACAATTCATTTTAGAAGTTGTAATCCAATCCAGTGGGGAAAATTGAACACTGTTATTTCCCAAATGAAAATTCTATCTGCTTTGCTATTTTCCACTACTGTCTCAGTCCATCAAGGAGAGAGAGTTCTTATATTCCTTCCCAGGAAATCACTTAACTAGCACCAAAAAGATAAAACTCCAAAACCTCTGCCAGCAAATAATCAGATTCAAGGACTAAAAGGGGGAGGTGGGGGTTGGAAAAATACGGGCAACTAAACAGTCACGGCACTGTGAACAGAGCCAACAGTCTACAAGCCTTTGTTCATCTTCTCATCATCTCTTGCTTGATTCAACAGCAGCTTAATTGGTCTCCCTTTCACTAAGGGAATGATTTAAAAAAAAAAAAACCCACGCACTATTCATTCCTGTTTAAAATCCACTGAGACAGCCCATCACCTTCAGCCTGAAATGAAAACTTCTTGTGTGACTTACAACATCCCTCCCATTTGGCTCTTCCTTTCTGCATCCTGATTCTAGGCTCCAGCCACACTAAACTACCATCGGTTTCCTATATGTGGCAAATACATGCCTCTTTATATTGGTTCATGCCAGCCTCTCCACCAAGAATACACTGCCTTTCCTTCTTCTCCCAGAGAATTCTATAATCCTTAGAAACACCATTAGTCTCATTGTCTCTAAAGAAACTAACCTGACTTCCTCAGTTAGAACTGGATGCTCCTAGCCCCTAACACACAATAACAATCTTAACATCAAGGCTACAGTATGCATTCTCCCTAAAAACATGCAGGAAAATGAATAGCAAGAACCACTGTGATAATTTGGATTTGAGAGTCTTAGGAAAAAAACATTAAACTAATTTTAGGAATTATGTAGAGCTCCCAAAAGCTGCCTACAAGCAAAGTGGATGATTTAAAGAGTAATTAGTATAAATATTATAGTATTGGTCCATTTGAGGACAGTACAGCAGACTAGGAAATAGTGGGCACTAGAGAAAAGAGGAAGAAGATCTGGTGGCACTGTGGTTAAGGCATTAGGCTGCTAACTAAAAGGTTGGCATTTCAAACCCACCAGCTACTCCATGGGAGAAAGATAAGGCATTCTGCTTCTGTAAAGATTTACAGCCTTAGAAAGCCTATGGGGCAGTTCTACTCTGTCCTAGAGGGTTGCTTTGAGTCAGAATTGACTCAATAGCAGTGGGTTAGAGAAAAGAGGGTAGTTAACAATTTTAAAAATATCCTCTATACATGTTTCAAAAACAAAAACAAAAAAGGTACAGAGAAAATTCCTGTTATTTGCCTCTGGGTATCTTTTCTTTCCTTCTCTGCAGAATTTCCCCAGGAAAGGAAAGAGGAAGACAAATAAAAAAGGAATGGATCCCAATACAAGGTAATAAAAGACTGAGGACCATGTTTTTAGCTGTCTTCTCTTAAATGCGGCTTCCTTTCAAGGCATAAGGTGTGTCCAGCATATAGTAGATGTTCATCAAATATGAGCTGACCCTTTTTTAACAAAAAAATGTCTAAGTCCCAACTGGAATTTAGTGCAATAAACTAACCAGGCAGTTTTTCTAACAGAATTTGGCACCACTCCATTCCTTCCTTTCCCCTGCACCAAAGCTGGTCATCTTCACTAATCACTAATCCATCCTTATTCTATTTCACATCTGAAGTTTCAAAGCCTGAGCCCATGCTCATTCAAACTTAAATTTTGAATTTGCCTACGACAATGCTAAGGAGCTCTGGTTGGGCAGTGGTTAAGGCATCTGGCTGCTAACCAGAAGGTTAACAGTTTAAACCCACTCACTATCCACTCCGAGGAAGAATGATTGGGCAGTCTGCTTGTGTAAAGATTTACAGCCTTGGAAGCCCAGTAGGTGCTCACTATCAGTCTGAATTGACTCAGCGGCAGTGAGTTCAGTTTGGTTTTGGTTAAGATAATGCAAGGGTCTGCCACCCATTACTTCATTTCATTTTTTTAATGCTTATTTCTCTTTCTGAACTTCACCAGATATTTACATCAGCCTATT